TTTCGATCACGTGTCCTGACGCGAGTTTAACATTTTTACCCGTACAAAAAAGGTGTACAAAGCCGCTAAAGAAGTTTTCACTTCAAAAAAATCAAAACTTTCCTAGATTAGAACTCCGCTATTCAACCTAAGAGGTTATTAGCACTGATTTATTAAAAAGCTGTTTCCTTAATGATCTTCCATTCATATCAACTTACTAAGACGAGCCGTGGAGCTTTGTATTTGGTAGGAAAATTACTGTAAGATTCAAGAGAGAACAAGTTAATTTGAATGAAGTATAATGAATTTAATTTAAATGGTCTCGTTTGAATCGACTATAGCTTGAACTAACGTAGAAAGTAAGTATTTTTGAACGTGATTCCTAAAGTTGTTTTGTAATACATGAAACGGTCCTTTTTTACAACTTCTCCATACATAACGTTGAACAAAAATGCTATTGAATATTATTAGAATTATGTTTTTTTGAGTTGCTGACGTCTCGGGCACAATATATTCAGATAGAGTATGCAAAAAATAGATCCTGTACAAGTCATAAAAATCATGTAAATTCAGCCTTAGTAACACGCATTCTGTGAAAAATTCAGGTGTCTACCTATATTCAAGATCAGAATTTTGTAAGTAATGGAGAGAGAACGGAGGCATTTTTTGTATTTACTTAAGCAAGGTAGGCTAAGTTTACTTGAGAGACAGCGGGTTTTCCACATCTTTAAGAAGACCGCAGTAAAATAACACCACTTTTTGGTGGTGTTATGTCTCTGTTGGTGCGTATGGTTCCAGGGCTCCACAGGGTGACGCGAAAGAATCCCTAAACGGGGACCCCGCGGTTTCGCACTAAGTAGCTTAGAGGGTATTCGCAGGGTTTTAGCGGATATTATGCCGTAAAGCGCCCGTAACAGTTACGGGGTCCTCAGAGGCAGCCACTGCGGGGGCTCGTAAGGCTTGCGGGAGCCAGGTGTGAGTTCCGTTCAGCGGTGGGTCTCTTAAAGGCGCCGTCGTCTGTAAACTGAGGTTTTGCCTGGGTCACAAAAAAAAGGGGCTCCACGGGGTAGGGGATTGGGTCAGGGCAACCCCCTACCTTGGTAACGGTGCGAGTGATAGTTTTGGTAACGCAAGCGTCTACAGGCTATGGTGACCGCTTACCACCAGGCTGGCCAAACGCTTGTTTGCCACCCTTTTAACATTAAAAAATCCAGGAGGATGAATTGTAGGTTTGAGATAAAATAAAGAAAATATTATAATTATTAATATGGTTCCTTACCATGTAGTGATAAACTGAACCCTAATAAACCACGTCAGTGTACAGATTAACAAACGTTGTGTGTTTTTGCAAAGTCTGCTAAATAGAGCGCTCCTAGACACGCCCATTAAGCTGTCATCATTCGAATCATCCATGAAAAAAGAATACAGGCTAAATGGATATTATGATTAGAATATTCTTATAACTATTATTTTAGTATTTTCATTGCTATATTGCGAATAATCAAAAATTTAAAGCAAAGAAAAAAAACAAAGAAATCGTTTTTAAAAGGTGAAGTAAAATTTTACCATTGAATTTGTAAATGTGGGTCTTACTTTATTTTTTATGAATACATTTACTAATATCCTTTAAATATTTAGACTGATTGATCTGCATTTATCATTATTTCAAATTATTGGGGCGTTATACTGATGAGAGATAAGAACAATTCTATTCTCGTAACAACAACAGATTGGATGTTTAAATAATTTAATAAGGTTATGCCTAAAAATAAATCTAGGTTTTACCGTTAATATACTCTTTACTTCTGGATATTGCAAAGCTGCGAGTCGCTTTATATTTTAAAATAAGCTTAATGATGCCTCGTTAGTGCAGATACATGTTAAAAGTTTTAGTTTAATAACTAAAACTTAATTCCAACCTAGACTGAAAGCTTAGATAAGTGTGAGAAAAGACAGCGTGAAATGGTGAATATTTTAATATCAATCAGGCCCGTCTGTCAGAAATATCATAGCTGCATATAGCATTAGCAGAGCAGTGCCTTGATAAGTAGCCAGGGTAAAATTAACGATATTCTCAATTACTTATCGATATTTATCGTGAGAATGGCCGGATGAAGTCCGTTAGGGCACGGTGCTTCCCGAGGCTCAAGCAGAGCTCGGGATGCATTGGCGTAATAATTTATTTAATCCGCACAAGAGATGCGCTGCAATTATTAATAGCTCGATTTGCTAGAGTTAAGAGCAATTGCTCTATTCAATTTGCCAGAGCGTCCCGAGTGGAGCGGCGACTGCGGTCGAGCGTTCGGTGCAATAACAATTATAGTTTTATCTACTTATGTATGAAAATTATGAGGACAAGCTGGCATGGCTGTGCGAAGTTACATTCCATGTTACGTGGAATTTCTGCTGCGGTGCGAAAGACGCGCCGCCCGCACCGCGCTGTACGCCGCGCCGTCGAGAAAAATGTTATTGTTAGCGCAATATATGATGTTGTGCCCGTTACCGTAATATAAATATAAAAAGTGGTAGGTATTAAACAGCACAGTACAGTCACCGCAAACACTCATATATTTGACGGTATTGTTGTATTACTTTAGTACACTAGACTAGTTATTTTATAACTAGACATTTCTATAAGATTTATACCAATCCTTATCATTTTTAACGTATACGATATAGTACTTTAGTAGTATTGTTTTAATAGAAAACACAAACTTTACAAATCGTTTTCATTAAGGATATCCTGAATAAAATAACTCAAGTGAATATTAACTTCTAACATTACCTACTAATAATTATTTGAACAAATATATATCTGTATCTCTAAGATTTTCTAAACGATTAAAGTCACACAGGATTTATAATTTAATGGTATCTACCTAAGTTCATAAATACATTGTAACGCCAAAACTGAATTGAGGATCACTACAATGTAAGCATGTCAAGGGGCAATGTTGATTATAAAGAAATAGTGATATGGTATTTAGGTGCATATTTTAGGGAAGGTATAAATAAAAAAAGAAAAATTTGTTCTCGGGGTGTCCATTTGCTAAAGCCAGTAATAGAGATGCCTAGGCGTTTCGCATCCCATCGTAATGACCGGGCAATATTCCGAATGTCGTATAGGGCTAAGGACAGTGCGCACTATACAAGATAGTTTATTTTTAGTGTCCATTTGCTATTGCGGTTTACTACATTACGCGGTTATTTTTAAAGCGATATTAAAACGATTGCAGACGCATTTTTATCGTAATCGCAGTAATCGGTGTAGCTGCGACCACCGGGCGAGACTGCATGCAGACCTCAAAACATTAGAACCTTCATTCCGCAATTATTATCTCTGAAAACCTGCCGATAATAGTTACAATTACTCGCTCGGGCGTATTTTAATAGTCACCATAATTTTTAAAGCTTTAAACGGCCATAATTATTTGTCTTGCGATTGCGATTGCCTCACCGCAGATAGACATGTGCATGTAACAAGATCAATGTAAGCAAATGAGCTATGCTCTCTACACCTTAAATTACGCGATACGGGAGATATGCTATATGTACTGACAAAACGACTGCAATTTATTCCATGTCTTTAGAGTAGATACGGTGCATTAATAAGAGGATGCGACGTTGTGTGATAGCGTACCAATAGTTTTGTTGGGCGGCCTGTGCGGTCCTATTATTGCTATTATATTCAAAACATCAAGTCACCCGTTCAATTAAAGTCCACATCGGGCGGCATAACATCTTCAGACAAAAAAAAGTTTGTATCGTTCGTGTATCTCCACATTTTTGCTCTTTTTACAGCTATTAAAGTAATACTTTGGTTGTTTTTTGAAAATAAAAATCGTAAATTTTATTTTACTAAGCCGCCGCCGTGCCGAACGTAATTCATCTCGTGTAAAACAATAGGTACTGATAGCTATCGCCATTAAATCGATTCATTTTTATTTTGCTGCAATTCAAAGGGTGATTTTTAATTTGTGAAGTGCGACTCTTTAAGTGCAGTATCTTGTATGCGAAGTTGAATAGGACATCAGTCTTCAAAGCAGGAGATAATTTCATAGTATGATAAAATAAGTAAAGATTTAATAGATACAAACAGTAAGATGAAAATAAGCAAGTACATATTACCTTTTTCATTCCTTTTATCCAACTGAGAAGAGCACTGCCTAAATAAGCAATTAAAAAGACGATGCTCCAAAAAGCATGTATGTTCACATTGTCCTTCAATTATATTGGTTCTCTAACTTCACTTGTGAGACCGTGCGGTGCCTTTGATTCTTCCAAACCCACACTTGCTTTATTTTGAACTGATCCAATAGAGAGGAAAGATATGGTTTAAAAGGTTCATGTTTGTTAATATTTAGCAAGTTCGGGATGGTATAAGTCAACTATCGTTAATTTTAGTTATGTACCAAATACATTTTAATTTTAATTAAATTATCAATAGGTATAACTTAATCCAAGCTTTCCTGTTGTATTTTAATGTTGTTTTGTTGTGCACGAAGTACTTTAGCGTAAACAATGTAAAATAGTATATTTGCGATATTTATTTTGTTGTCTGCAAACATTTTCTTGTACAAAGTTAAAGCTGTAAAGCTTGAGCAAAGATAAATCAGCGTTTAATCTTCTGTGGATGTTGATGAACGTCATGAATTTAATTTTCCTTCGCTGCAAAATGCGATTCAAATATAGTAACTTAACAGATTGAACCTGTAATCTGAGGATGTACACATCTCGATTACTTCCGATTTATGAGGCTATATAAATTCCCAACTTATTTTTGTTAACGCATGTGAAGTTGTAAATATAAATTAGTACGCTTGTAATAATTGCCGACGCGTTGCGTGTCCGATCTTCAATGGGAGATATAACAAAGGGCCTCGTGAGCGGCGCATCGCGTCTTCGTGAGTCGAGAAAAAACTACGACAACCCTTTTGGACAAGCGAAGAATTTGCGTCGACCACAACAAGAACAAATTGAGCGCGAACTATTGTGCGGTACGATTTGCCGAGATAACTCCTATGTCGGAGAGCGCGGGCTCAGGGCGTCCGGCCGTCGCGTCGCCGGACGTCCGCGGCTGCCGGGATCTCGTCGCGCCCGGGCGGCTGTTCATCGTGACAGTCTCTTCATCGCCGCTTCGCCTTAATCGTGGTTATGATTCACGGATTACGCTGAGCGGTGTAACTTACGCAACGGGCGTCGAACTGAGCTACGACCGCGGTAGTCTGAATGCGGTGGTGCGAGCGGGATGCGTGTCAGTTATAAGGGAGAGTCCAGAGCAGCGCGCGCTCAGTGTGCCCGAGTGTCCCGTGTTGCGTGTGCGCACTCCCTCGTGTATCGTAAGACGCAGATACCCGCCAACCACCTCCAACATGCAGCTTGTTCTAGCAACTTGCCTCCTGCTCTTCGCAGCCACCTTCGGCCCGTCTGCAGGTATGTAGAGTTGTAAATAATCATTAATCACGATTGAAGTTCAAGACTGATTCCAGTCGCAGAAATCTAATACAGACGTTTATTGGTTGGTGCGATAAAAACATCATCGTACACAATGAGTAGAACTCGGAAATGCCCACACCGATTTTCTTTTAAGATTTTATTGCACGATGTTTATTGAGGGCATTGCGTAATTTGTTTCAATATGGGATTTTGAAACCTTAACTTTTTCATTTATTATTAAGATATGAAATATATAGTTTTTACATAATAACAAGTAACCAATTAAAACGTTAATTTTTTTATATTATATTTTATTTTGATATAAAACATTTATTTAATATTGTAATGTTTTTCTTCATTTTTTTTATTTTGAAATATTATCAAGAATTTAACTGCTAAGTAGTTTCTTTTTAAATAAGTATTTATAGCTAGAAAAAAAATATTCACTTTGTCTTTGCTATCCGGTTTTCTGTATTAATTAATCATTCCCTGTCACTCGATATGGATATAGTAAACGCACTATTTTCAGTTTACATAGAAAGTTTGGTTGTATGGAATGTACCAGACATATTATAAAAAGTCCCCCGCGGCGTCTTTGTGATAAATACGAACATAGCAAAAACCATTGAACAGATTTTCACGCGGTTCTTACTATCAATTAGACATTCTGGTTTTTCAAAATAAGTGTATATTTTATACGTACTAAACCGAAGCTAAGCAAGGCGCGTCACAATCATATAAAAACAACACTAACGTAGCAAAATCTGAACCATATTGTTTACCAACTCGTTTCATATAATTTTCTGCGTATTAACTAACGATCGCAAGAAAATTTTGTGCCGTACACAGGGCATAAACACAATACTACCAATTTTTTTTTTGTTTTATTTGTTGTTGTCCGGAGGTTGCATGAAAGAATGTTAGTGAAAATTCCACTATCTATAAAACTATCAGCAAATTTGTAAATCGTGATAGTCTTTAGTGTATCGAAAGCATTACCCACTTCTCACTCTCTCAAGTTTAGGCACTATACTAATAAGAGATGTAGAAAATTTGTTTCTACTATAGTGAACAGCATTGCTACTTTATTTTATATTTTTGTAAGCAAATTGCACAGTTCAAGTTATTTTTCAGTAGATATAATATTTGTTAGTTCACGCTTTCACAATAACGCTTTCTTCCCTATTTCATACTATATTGAATTTCAACTTTAAATTTCAGTCTACGTCCTTCGTAGGGATTCATTCGTTGATCATAGGGATTGATTGAATGCATATCTGGGATAAGTATAATACAAAATTTGCGCAGTGGTATACACGCGTTCAGAGGGAAAAATAGAGTATTAGATGAAATTATGTACACGTTTATATAATAAGTTATAGGGGCGACTTCGTCCGCGTTAACTTTAGTTTTCTGAGAATCCCCCAGAAACCCTAAATTTTTTCGGGATAAAGAGTATCTTATGTCTCAATCCAGGCAACAAACTGTATGTGTGTCTTTGAGTAACAAACATACAAACTTTCCCATTTTTTATACTAACAGGATAAGTGATTCGTAATTTATAATTACTGTAGAATTTATAACTAGATAAAAAATATTCACTGTGTCTTTGCTATCCGGTTTTCTGTATTAATTAATCATCCCCTGTCACTCGATATGAATATAGTAAACGCACTATTTTCAGACAAAGTGAACATTTTTTTTTCTAGTTATAAATTCTACAGTAATTACAAATTACCAATCACTTATCGTACTAATATTAAAAATTTGAAAATTTGTATGTTTGTTACTCAATCACGCAAAAAGGGCAGAGAGGGTTTAGATGAAATTTCATATACCTTCCTTCGCGTCTGGCTTTGGTTTTTTGGGCTTATATTAATAAAACTTTCGAACAAAATTATCTAACTGATGGTGAAAAGTGCATCAAAATCCGTTCTATACTCTTTGAGATCAAGGCAGACAAACGCATCAGAGGCATTTGACTTATAAAGTAACTAGCAGTAGCCCACGACTTTGTCTGCGTTTACTTTAGCTTTTTGAGAATCCCACAGGAACCTGACATTTTTTCGGGATAAAAAGTATGTATGTATGTCTTATAGGCCATTAACTATATGCGTATCAAATCCGTTCACTAGTTTTTGCGTAATTGAGTAACAAACATACAAACATTCAAACTTTTACATTTATAACATTAATAGCATGAGTAAGTTTATATGTTGGTACTCAATCAAGCAAAAACGGCTGAACAAATTTAGATGAAATTTTACACCCAGATAACCAATAACGTGGATAGAGACAGAGAGACATAGTATACTTTTTAACCAGGTGAAGTGTTAGGTTCGTAAGGGATTTAAAAAAAACTATAGTTAATGCGGACATAGTTGCGGGCGGCTGCTACTAAAGTAGTAAGTGTCTAAGTAATAATTTAAGGACCTGATAAAATATACAGGCCATCAAGATTGTTTTAAATCACCACATAATACCGATCATAATGGTATGCAGACGTTTATAAAGCATAATAATATTAGCTGTACCGTTACGATGATTTAAGATTGTGTCTCACGAATAACAATCACGATAATCCATTATATTTGCTTGTTGCTTAATCATGATGTAACGACTGAACAGTTCTGTATGAATTTCCGGAACAATAATGAAAATCATCATAAATAGGAGAAAATTATAGTGTATATTACTTTTTTATTTTCTTCGCCTCATGTTGTACGGGGTTGAAATTTTATTCTGTATTAAAAAAAATGTTTTGAATGTTTATGTAAATATAACAAAAACGAACATACGAGTTCAAGCACAGGAATATCTAATACTAATAAGCTATTAAAGTATTACACAAATAACACACCGTAAAATTTCCAGCAGTTAAGAGTGAATGTATATATAAGGAGATCAATAGGATATTTAAAAAAATATGCATCCATCTATGAGTTCAGACAGAGAGAGAGAATGTTCTCGAGATTACAATTCTCAAATTACAGAAATAAATTACAAGACTCACGTCACGTCAAGTGTAAAATAAACATTCGTTAAGTCTTGTTCGAAAGCATAGCAGAACTTTGTAGTGGGAATCTTATTGCGTTTAGGTTTCAATGCGTACATGCGTTACACTCAATAAATAGTCTATAATCCCTTGTAAACTACGGGTAATATCAACAAAACAAGGAGAGCGTGACAACGAAAGCTCGCTATAAACGAAAGCAGCGGAGATTTGGTCGGTTTCGCGTGTTGACTCAAGTGGCTGCGAGCGTAGGCAGGTATGCCGACAGAACAATGCCTGCTCCTCTTCGGGAACCAGCTCCGCTAACAACTCATGTCTAACTATGCATTCCACTTTCGGAACTCCTTGCTTCCTTTCTATAAGAACTACGCTCGTTGTAGGTAGTAGATATTACATTACTAGATACATAAATAAAATCAAACATCGGACGCTTTTACCAAATAAAATGCGATGACTCAACCTTACGCTAATAAAAATTTAGTGATTTAAGCAAAAAAACGAGCAAACATTTCGTCAATTGCAAATGCACGATTCTCCGAACGCGTTATATTCACGCATTCGTCGGCACTGAACCGAATAGGTAAACATTTATTAGGAGGTGGATTACCTCATTTGAGTCTCTCGCGGCTCGCTGTGAGAAAACTTGGCGATTTATTCCAATCAACGCGACAGGCAGCGATTCCGCTAATGAGCCGTGTCCGCGGTTATCCGACGGGTTATCGACGGGTCGGCAAAAACGCTAGAACGGAAGTCGGCGTTGAGAAAAAATAGTGACGGGGGTGAGGAGGGAGCAGCGACAGGTGCGCGGTTCATCGGCCGCAACTACGACCGCCGCATACAACGTTATCATGCCGCTAACGTAACTCGATATGGACTCCCGTACGTCAAACATGGCGAGGGCGAATCGTGATACGTCCGGCAAATTGAAGTACACGCTCATTCAAGTAAAAAATGAAGCTTATCCCTCTTCATGTAACTGGCTGATCTTTGACAGTTCAATATGTGCAGTCGTGACGTGAGCTTTTTCAATGGGTTTTCGGCTCTAGGAGGTGTATCAAAATAATGAAACATTATACATCTGTGATATTTATGTAGTAGGTAGATATATATGATAAAATACAATTATTTTAGATTAAATTATCAACACTTATTAGAAACGACATAATCTCATGCAATTTTCATTACTTTTGTGAAATGCTGATGAGTTTCAGCTAAAACATGTTATTTGATAGAGGTTTATATTTCTTCATGAAAATTATTTAATTTTATATACAATTTGTGTAATATAACTTTTCTACCAAATACAAATACTAAAATATTCAATCATTTCAATAAGCAAAAAATAGCGCAGTTTGGAATTTAATTTCATCAAATATTCAAAATTATCGTTTCACTAACTCACGTGTTGTCTTATAGCACCAAGAAAGTGTCACCTTTGTTAATTTACGTCTCTGAATGCTGCCGCATGAGATTGTATCAAGTCTTGATAAAATATTGTATGCGTGTAAAATATTCACACATAAATTGCCATACAATAAAAGTAATACTGAATAATTACTACAATATAAGATGATCCAAAGCGTTAAAGTTAATTTAGCATATCAAAAGTCCCGATGGTCACAATCTATGGATAGGAGCATCATTAAAGTATCTAGCCAACGTGATTCTCGTATAAACCGGCGTTTTGATTTAGAAATGCTCGATCATTGTTACTGTCTAATCCAAAGTTTACATATCTTCGCATAATGTCATCACGGCTCCATGAATCATCTAAAGGATTATTATAATATGTATGGACTTCATCAGCATTATTACTTTCGTGCTCATGTAGATTCAGTGCAGTTAGGGCCATGAGTCCATATTGTTGTACCATGGTTTATGACTTAACAAAATACTTATAATAAACAATGAACAGTTTCACATAATGTTTGAGTCGAGCGAGCCCTTAAGATAAATTTCGATTTGTATTCAACGTCGTAAATAT